TACGCGTATAGTAAACAGCAAACAGGTGTGTGCTAATCGGGAACGAAGAGAGAACGTGAAAACGATATGCGATCACCGTATCGCTGTTTATTTGCTTCTTCCTTCGTCGAAGGTAGAAAATACCTCGAATAGTAGAAAATAGAACGGGCGGTCGATACAACGATGTTTTAGAATGGTGAAAAAGTGTTTTAGAACGGGGTGAAAAAGTTTGAAAGCTAGGCGTGAGGTTATTACTTGACAGAATTACCGCGTTCGAGCGGTATCGGAATCGGCAGCGAGCATGTTTCTCACCGATGAGCAGCAACAATGGCAGCAACCGCCAGCTTTCTGTGCCGGTTCTAGCACGCCTTTCGAAACTTGACTCGACGAATCGTATTATTCAAATTTGCTCCCCTTTCCGGCCGCGCCGCTATTTTTCAACGTGTTTCGCGATATCGTTTGATACAGCGGAACGATGGAAAGGTGGTACGAAAAATCGTTTCTCACCCCTCCCCCTTTTTTCCTTCTCGTTTCGAATTGCGAAACCTGCTACGAAAACAAACGACTCTTTGCTTCGCATTATTCCGCTTGGCTATTAAAACCGCCGGTAATTGCTCCAGGGTGAATGGAAGGAGAAGGGGGCGGGAAGAGTGGCCAGGCGAGAGCGAGAAAGAGAAAGAAAGAAGGCAATTTAACGAAACGCTGGTTTTAAAGAGCAAGGAAAGGGATAAAATACGGATAGAATCGAAAAAGAGAGAGAGAGAGAGAGAGAGAGAGAGAGAGAGAGAGAAATTAATTCATTAATAGAATGCGTCCGTCCATTATGCTACCGATCGTACGAATGGTCGTGAACGTGGCGCACGTGGCCAGAGGCCAGAGGGTGGAGAGGGTTGCGCCAGTGTCGGTGTTTACACGCACGCAGACTCCGAACGTTTCATTTTCTCAGGATTAAGTAACCACCGTGGTCGTTACCTACATGCGCCGCCCGCTATTAACGGTTTAATTAGCGTAAGTTTTCATTTGTAGGATTACAACGCAGCAAAGTTCTGCCTGGTGCAGAAGAGCGGAGGAATGGGAGTGGGTGTGGGGGGAGGAAGGGAGGGTGAAAGGGAGAATTGGTTGCAGAAGCAGACGAAAAAGTGAATCACTGATTAAGGGGAGGAAAGAGCGAACGATCGTTTTTCACCGCGAACGTGGCTTATTATTGCATTTTCGCGGATTATGCCTAAGCTCCTAGCAATTTGCCGCTTACGCTTACCCGTGGAAAATCGGAAGGCCGTCGTTATTTAACTCGTCGCGCGAAGATTTTAACCATCGTTTCGCTAATAGGTTTTAATCCAGATAAAAAAAAAAAAAAGAAGATCAGTTCGTATATTTCCGCGAACGTTTATTCTCTGGCTAATAGATCGGCCGTTGGCGAGAGGGAAAATCTCGCGAAACGAAAACGGCGGCGGTGTTGTGTTTAATCGAGATTCTCATTACTCGTGGCGATAACGGAGGAGGTAAATGCGACTACCTCGATTATTTCTCCGGTAGTAATGAGTATCTTATTTCGTTAGGTTGCCACTCGTTGCTTCGTCGTAGCTACGTAAAACTTGCTTCGGTAAGGCTGTCACGTTCAGTAGGTCCAACAGACGTGCCCGTGACACCAAACTCGAGTGGATTGGTCCACGGGTCAGACACCGGAGAGAAACGAGGTATAGCGAAAAGAGAGGGTGCCCTGTGTGCTCCCCACTCGAACTATTTATTCCGGCACAAATCGCATTACCAACTTCAACTGCAAAATTGACTTCGTCCAACTTTTACGACGCCTCCGTCCTCACGCCCCTTCGACGCCACCCGCACGGTCAGAACTTCAACTTGTACGAGGGTTTACCAAACTCAGTTTAAGAAGAAGAAGAAGAAGAAGAAGAAGAAGAACTGTTTCAACCGGAGAGAGAGACGCATCTTGCGGGACTTTCTCCCTTCCGTTGTCGATATAAAATCGTACGACGCGAGCTTCTGCTGGAATGGCAGTTGGGAAGTTCGAACCGTCGGGAATAACGAACGGTATCGTTGTAAATTACTGCACCTTTCTCTCCCTTTTCACTTGTCGGCTAATCCTGCACGAGAAAGTGCGAATGACACGTGTCTTCAGTAAGATGGAGACCTGACGTTTACCAGTGAATTTTATATGGCTAGAGGTCTTTATACGGCGAGAATTTGAATCTTTAAAGAGGAACGAAGATCGAATGTTCATTTATTGAAACGATTCGTTAATATTAAAACCACCAAACCCGTTAATAGGACAGATTTCAGATTTCTTTTTTTTTATAATTACAAATGTAAAAATGTGGGTATTTTTGTTGAAATACTGATTTTTATTTAGTCAAAGGTACAAGCAGAAATCAGCAATTTATGTTTATTTCATACATCAAGGTTTCTTCTACGCTTCAACAAACAAAAGATTTTGTGACGTAACGGTAAGGAATTTTGATTGGATATTTAAATTAGTGAAAGTGAGTAAAGAGCTGCATTATCCCTACTCTTGGGGATAAATGGTATTATGAAGTTCCTCGATCGGCTATACTTTTACAAGCGCTCAATTTTATTAAATGATCGACGTTCAGCCAATTCACGACATTCGTTCTATAAATTGATTTATTTTACATTTCACGCATCGTATTTTAATACTACTTTACATGAAATATACTGTTAGCAATCCTCATTAGTGGAATATAAAGAAATTGGATTGTTCCACTATTAAGTTTCCGCATTGAAGAATGATTATAAATGGACTAATTTGCGTAAGTAGCTTCCGGTATATCTGTTACGTCATGTGCGTGTACGCATTGGCTCTCATTTAGTTGCTTTTTACTTCTTGTTGACTTCGCAGAGAAAATGCCGTTTCACTTTTAACGAGCAACTGCAGTACTGCAATGTTTGATGAATAATACATATGTCTCATTAACCAAAACAAAAGACATTAATATTAATACGTACATACTATTTTCATAATTATTTTAATTGTTCCATTCTATTAAAATACCACAGCATACATCATATTTCATCTAAATGCAATTCTTTTTAATATCGTGAAAGTAATGTTAAACCTGGGAGGAAATTATATCAATTATTACACTTACAATATCTCTTAAAAATAAAGGTGCAAATCACGATTGAGGAACAAAATCTCGAACATAAAATTATATCAATTAATCTGACATAAGAATATTCTTCTGGAAATGTATCTTTGTAGTTCAAATATAACTGATACTCGTCGTACGCTTTGCACCAGAATTGAAATTAACCACCCATTTGTCTTCTGGTTCTGCTTAATCGTGACTAGCTGAATGATTTATGATTTCCACTTCTCCTTAGCAAACATAGTTGTACCAGCCAGATGCAGCGAAGCTCGTGTAAAGCGATTCATAGTCGAAATCGAGAAGGGTTGGTTAAAAAAAAAAAAAAAAAAGTTAGGTGCTGTCTGCCATGAAAAGCGTGAAGATAATGAGCGTCTCGCGTGATTCATACTTACGTAACGATTGGAAAACAGTTCTGACGTGCTAAGATTTTCATTATCCGCGAATGAAAACACAAGATCATCTATGTGGTCTTGTCGATCTTTTTTATGTATGGACATCTGTATTAAATAGTATTGTAATGATAATAAGGTACGCTACTGGCAATGCTAATCAACGCAGTAGAATTTTGACATAGAATCTAGAAAAGTTTTACATTTCTTTTTAGTGCTATCTCAGATTTATTTCAAACCAGTCAATTCAATAAGCGTTGAAATATCTTTCGCGTTTCGACAATATTATATCAAGGAAAAATTCACGTTCCTACTTTCGCTGATTTTGAATATTTCAATCTATAGTATTTTAATGTTTCATTTTATTTCCAATATCTATGTACATAAATATACCCTCGGTTTCGAGCATACCCACGATTCATTTACGTTTCATCTCGCCAACAAATACGGTTGAATTGTTGATTAAGGGATCGCAATATAGAACTGGGTTAAACGAGAGAAATCAAGGATCGCTCGATAATCGCTACGGTTCGTGGGATCGCGATCGATTCTCCGAACGCGAAGATGTTTGTATTCGAGTGCAAACGTTATTAATAACCTTCCATTCGCGCTTGCGAATTTACATGAAAATAGTTGAAGCTCTATTTCAGGTGAGCGTGTACCGCTTCCAAATAGCTGATCCAGTTTCGAATCACGCAGTAGCTAATGCGTTCATGACCACGTTCGATGAGCATTCGTTATTGACGTTCCGACGCGCACACCGCCGATGCTTCTGATAGCTCTTGTTAGTATTCATCGAAAAATGCAAAGAGACCATGAAAATAATATGCAGAATCGGAATTTTATCGCGGCAATTAAATCGTTTCCAGTAAACGGAGAATTTCTTAGATTAGCTTATTATGCAGTTCATTGGTTTCTGATATCTTCGGAGGGAAATGGTTTCGAGCGATTCTCGATCTGCTGAGTTAATTCTACTTCTCGAGAGTGGCACAACTCTTTTAACATTGCAAATTGTTAGCCTCAATTATCAAACAGCATAAGTGGATGTAACAATCCATGTCACGATTGAAATTTAGATAATTTTCATTCAGATCAATAATAAAATTCAATTAAATCGGCAACTCTAAAATTAAGCAATTTAATTTAAATTGTTACGGTCTCCAATGGTCCAGTGGTACCAATTGAAAGTAAAAATATAGGTATATGATATATCTTTTAGGTAGTCAAATGTATTTATCATTATCCTCATGATACTTGTCCAGTGTTATAAATTTTTTTTTAAACTCAATTTATATTTATGTTGTAACGAGTGCCTATGCAGAAAGCAACAGAACGTTCCGCGAGCTGATCAGATTACATAATGTGTTTTTAGTCCAAATTCACTTCCTACTATCGAGTACAGACCAGATTGCAAATCAGATTAAGCTGTCTCGCGATATCCAGTTCAAGGTGAACCACAAGCCGTCAAGCCGTAGGAACAGCGAAAGTGATTGGTCTCGATGGTAGTAATGCCACTGTCAAGAATATGTCCGCCGCTGCTCTGTGAAGCAGTGTACTTTGGAACGCGAACCCGATCGAAGCCACGATTCTCCGAGTCTGCAAGTTGTCGAGTGTATCGTATATTGTTCGTATGTTACGACGAGGGCAAGAGTCGTGCAATCCGCGATGGTGCGACTGTTGAGTTTTATCGTGACCCTTGGTTATCTGTACTGTGCGAACGGAGCAAGATTGGAAGTTGCTTTTCAGTGGAAATACTTGGATTGGACCTGGCCGAATGTTCACCTGACAGGAAGAAATCAAACGCTGGGTAACGCGTTCACCCAGGACGTAGACGTCGATAGATACGGTCGTGTATTCGTAACAAGTCCTCAGTGGTTGGATGGTGTCCCGATTAGCTTGTCGTTAATAACGACTGCCTATGGTTTGGGTGGTCCTTTGCTGACGCCATATCCTGATTGGACCTGGCACACGCCGTACAGTTGTGACAGCATAATATCTGTGTACAGGTTGGCGGTAAATATCGTGACAGGTGTAATTGCTGCAATTGCTGCAAGGGTTTCCATACTTTCTAGTGAAATAGCATTTTAATAAATTCAGTTGGAAATTCGTCGGTGCTATTATTTTTGATAATATCTATTTCTTGTTTCAGGATTGTTTGTTAAATCATTGTGTATTTTGACCCTACTGCGTTCTCTTCGATTCACTTACGTTTCGCAGAAATTAAAAAAGTACCGCGAGTTTAAATGGAGTAGAGAAAGAAAAGGAAATGAAGTGAAAAGTTCTTATTAGTATACGCGGTTCTTCGATTAAATCTTATGTTAGACATAGTTTCAAAAGATTCCTTTTGTTTGCTAAAATAAAACATAAAAATTAAAAAGTTGCAGAATTGAAATTATAGAATTGTCGATAATTTAACTTCGTAAAAAATATTTATTTACTTGGTGTTATTTTAAAGCGTAAGGCTTCTACTTTCATAGTCTCGAGTGCATTTTTTTCTAAAAACTATTCTACGTCATCGTGTAAAATAGTTTTTGTATGCTACTGAATTTCCAATTTCAATAAATGATGCAAAGTTTCAATAAAATGGTGCAAGAATCATCTCACGATAACAATAATTACACGCTCTGTTGAGAATGTTAAAAGTGTTACACAAGTGCAGTTAAACATGAAATTAACAGAGCGTAACGGAATATTTGCATGAACGGTCAAAGTCGAAATGATCTGTAAACTAACAAACACCTTTAAAGTATTTTACGATTAAAAGATGCACATGATCATTAATATTCTTTTACAGATGTTTCATAATTAGATAAATACAACAACAAATGTATTTCATACGTAAATATTTTCTTCTAGGCAATATTTTAAACTGAAAGATCGTAACGCATGCACAAATAACTTTTTAATAAAGATGCGTAGGTAGATACACAGATCGTTATTATATTAATGTAAACGTATAAGAGTTGCACGTTAAAAAAAGTTAAATTCGTAAACAAAATTACTTCTCCTTTCTGCATTTAGTTAAATGAAGTATGATTCTAAAATATGCTCATCGCTAAAATTAATCGAAATCTAACGTGTTGAAAATTGTACGGAGTTATGTTAAAAGCAACAACAAACTCAACTGTGCAGATAGACGAATGCAATCGTTTATGGGTTGTGGATACTGGTCGCATCGGAGGAAACGCCGTTTGTCCAACGAAAATATTGATCTTCGATCTTGCGAACGACCAGTTGGTTCATAAATACGTGGTTCCGGGTGATCAAGTGATATTCGGGAAGGCAGCATTAGTTACACCAATCGTCGACGTCGGAAAAACGTGTCTCGATACTTATCTCTACGTGGCGGATGTGAATCAAAATGGCCTACTGATTTATGACTTGTATCACGATTATTCGTGGCGAGTAAACAACACGCGTGGCAATGCTTTCGGCCCGGATGACGATGCCATGAACATCACGATCGCTGGTGAATCGTTCAATTTAACCGATGGCACTCTCGGAATGTCATTGTCTCCGTTTGGATATTTCGACGAAAGGTATCAACTTTATTATTTATCACACAATGGTGGTTTACACAAACTTCGGCATATTAAATATTTTATTGTTACATTTATGTCGTTTAACCTTTAGAAGATTGGCATTTTTGAAATAGAAATAGTAATTCTCTTCTCCAAAAAATATTTATGTATACAAAAATTGTATCGTACCGAGTACCACTGTACTCTTGTCTATTTGACGTTATATTTTAAACAATTATTAACAATTAGTCAAAGTTACAAAAATGATTTCGTCGGTCCTCTGAAGATTAATCGTTTCATTCCCTGAACGATACATTTCCTTCGTTATCTTGACTCTGATTTACCCGAAAATAATGTTGAAATTAATTGCCAACACATTCTTGTTCACTGCATTCAATACAGATTCGTTATACGGTATATAATTTCTAGGTACCTCTATTTCAATTCGTTGGCCAGCTATCGACAAAAGTTTACGGATACGTACTCTTTAAAGCAAAGTAAATACAACGAGCCGATAGTGTTCGAATCGAATTATAAGCGAGCGAGCCAAGCGGGTGTACAAGCAACGTCGCGAAGAGGCGTAATATTTTTCCAATTAGTCCAATTAACGGCGGTCGCTTGTTGGAACATTGAGAAACCATTTACACCGGAAAACGTCGTGGTAATTGCTCAAGACGAGGCGACACTGCAGTACGTGAGTGGCATCAAAGTAATTACAAATAGACAGGGCGAAGAAGAGTTGTGGTTCAACACAAACAGATTACAAAAGACGATAAATATGACCCTGAAACCAACCGAAACGAACTTTCGTATAATCAGAGGGAAAGTCGATGATATTATCAGAGGGACGAATTGCGAACCTTCTGGCATAAAACGTAAATTTCCAGATACCAACTTCTGGCACCGGATATAAATCAGATGAATTTCAAATCAGAATCATCTACTCTTACGTAATGATTGCAAAATCATAGGGGCGTCGAAGATGTGCTTAATCTGCTCTGCAATGAGATTTGTACAGAATTGTAAAGCTCTTTGTACAGACGATATAAAATAACTTTCGTCGTTTGATCTACTCATATATAATATTATTATAATAACAAGTAATAACTAATAATGAAACTTGATGACTAATTTCACGTAAAAACCAACAGTAGCCATTAATTAGTTACATAACCAATGTTACATTATCACACAACTTATATAAAATAATGTTTCCCACATAATTTCTTTGCATAATACAAAATAGTTTTTCCCATATAATCTTCGATCTTTTAAAATATTAGAGCATCTAGATCTCTGTAGGTAATAATATTGTAATAACAAGTAATAACCAGTAATAATAATACTTAATAACTATTATTATAATATTATAATAATTAGTACTTACCTAATAATGTTGTGCAAATTGTAACTTGCATGCCATTTCCAACACAGTTCAATTGTACTAGAGATTTTAGACCCTGACACCTGCCAATTAGGCAAACACAATTATACTCCGCGATCGAAGCAATTAATTTTGTTAATTTTTGGATAACTATTGCTTCTCCTTCGTCAAAGACCAACGACGTCTAAACACGGAGGATGATTCAACTAGCGCAAAGAGAGAGAGAGAGAGAGAGAGAGAGAGAGAGAGAGAAAGTAGAAGCCACAAGAGTAGAAGGGACATTCTGCGAGTGACAGTTAGCGTGTAGCAATTTAGTTAACCGTTTCATCGCTGCCTTTTGAGAGGTAACGAGGTCTGTTTGTGACAGGAGCGTCACTAGAAAGCCGAATGTTTCGACAGTAGACCAGTCAGCTGGCCGCGGCACGAGACGAACGCGACCGAGACAGAGAAGTGTTCGGGCGAACGATACGGCCGCAAGTTTTTCTGGGCAAGTGAATCGATACGATGCCTCTTTCCTCGGCGTGGCGACGAATTCAGGAAGTTTTATCAGCCTTTTGGGTATCCGGCAAGCTCGCAAGCAGGAGACGAAGAAGCAAGGGACGGCGGGTGGGAATTGGTTGAGATAAATGCGCATTCACGAGGAATTGTTCGCGTTACTGCCGCGGCACCCTTGGGATACCAATAGGGCGCGCAATGCCGGGAAATTCGTGTCACCTACTTCTCTTTCTACGGCGCAGTTCGGCGTGTGACTAATGGCGGCATATTCATGGCACAGCCTCGCCTCTCCAGCTCCCCTCAGCACACCCCCTTGCGAAGCTCTGGCAGTTAACCTCAGACAACCCCTTCGTCGCGATAATATACGGCTGCCCTTAAATTTTCGTTCCCCTTCGATTCCTCCCATCCCGACCCCGACATCAGCCTACTCCGACACACGTATGGTGGAAAACCTCCACCTTCGCTCGGGTTTCCCGTTGATAACCGATCTAACTCGACCCCGAGGCCGTTCCAGAAGGAACGTGCGCGAAATTCCGGGAACGTTTTTTTGTTTTTTTTTTTTTTTTTTTTTTTTTTTTTTGTTTTTATATCTCTGCTCGATTTCGTTGATGAAATGACAAAGCTGCGACGACGATCTTCGCGAAAACGCGGCGATATTCCTGCGTACGTATTTTCGTAAAGTAGGGGAAATCTATAGCGCGGGATTCGATAACTTCATCGCGGTGTCTAAGTATTATAAAATATCGAGACTCGAGGTGAAAACCCGAGCAGAGCGGCATAACGGCGCGGCGTCGAACGATCCATGCAGGAGCACGTTTTCACGATCGAACTCGTTACCTTAAGGGTAAGACGTGGAATTACTTAAGAGGTGATAGGCGTTTGACGGTAAAGTCTCGGTGCGAGCGAGTCTACGGCACGGCGTGCGGAGAAAAGGACTCAAATCGTTTTACGAGGGTAGTTTTAAAACAACTTTACGAGAACACCACGGAATTTCGAAATAAATTTACATCAGCTTTACTACCCCTAATATACCTAACTATCAGTGTTGAGCACTGATACACGCGCGTACACTCCAATCACTGTTAATGTAACCACGGCTACCAGTGGCCAGGGAGTCTAGGATACGAGTCTTCAGGAGAGAAAAGGATAGGATAGGACTTTAGAATCTCTTTACGACCAATACCGGTGAACCCGTGTACCGTTTATTTCTCGGGAGAAGGGAAAGAAAAAAGGAATCGAGAAAACGATCGCGGAAAGCGCGGAAAGAAGTTTTATTCGCGCGTAATGCGGAGGAAGTATTAAGCCGTGAACGATCGCATGCTGTTGCATAAAAATTTCATCGTGAGCAATTAGAGAATTCACTGAGGTAAAGTTCGCTTTCTTGCGGGAGAATGTTTTCCAATTAAATGGAAGAATAAAAAAAAAAAAAAAAAAAAAAAAAAAGAAAGAAGCGCGCCAAAGAGGTGTGTACAGTCGGGCGCTAAACGTATCGTTCGCCGGGAATGAAATTTTAAACTTTAATCGCGAGATTAACCGCGTATTTCATAGTCACGGCTTTTCTGTCGGCCACGGTAAATTACTTTGTTTTTCTCCGAATTCTCCGCTGCCTCTCGTGCCTCGAGCGAACAAGCTACATCAAGCGAACACCGTACATGCACCGGAGTGTGTGCAAGCTGAGAACCGATGAGAGTGCGCGCGTTCTCTCACGCAGCTGTCCAATGAACGAACGAGCTAACAAATGAACGAACGAACGAACGAACGAACGAACTCACACACGGTATCCGTTTGCAGTTCGAAGGAACGTGGGGTTTCCGCGGCGGCGGAACGTCGGGAGAATTTCGGGCATTCTCTCGTGTCTTTATTAAGGCAGCTCATCTATAATTCACCGGACAACCTAGGCGACCTGACAGTGTGCTGGACTCACCGGTCGCATAAACACACGGCATCTCGTGCAGAAACTCATGCATGCCAGTGTGTGGCACGCATTGCGGTTGTCAGCTCTAGTCAACGTGTAATTTACTATCCTGTCTCGGTTCGATGCAGATGCGCCCGTTGCTCGGGCCCTGGACCACCGCAAGTACTGTCCGCTGGACGTCGGCGCTAACGGCTACGAGAACGCGAACATCGTCCTGTGTGCTGTGTTGTTCCGTATTGCCGTTGTTACCATCGCTAGTTACGATCCAAGTGGACGATACCGGCTGGCTCCAGGTACCACTGACCACTTGGAACCAGGTCATCACCGCAAGATCCCCATAAACCAACTGCTACAGTCTCCTCGCTATTCCGCCATTAACTCAAATAGAAGTTTGCCATAGGTTCACCGGTTATCGTTAGCATCTCTTAATGAGCAAAATTCCAGCGACGCGACAATGTCCTTATACCTTCATTTCCTTTCTGGGGTTCCCTGTCCTTTTTGTGTAGGACAGGATACAAGCTACGTAACGAAGCCATAAATTAAACTATTGAAACATGATTAGTTTGATTTATTAAGGAATTTTATAGCCTCGTTACGCTACACTCTAGAATATATACACTTAAGGATAGTTTTACGAAGGCAATGGACTGAGGAAGTGAAACCTGTGTAGCCTATTGACCGGAATGTTTGATGTAACATATCACGTCAGAGAAAGTTAGGTACGTAACTGGTGTAGCTGGTAGGTATATTTAGTTTGCTCATTGAACGATGGCAATAGAACAGGAAACACATCTTGACGAGATGCAATTTGAAAATCCATTAACTTACTCTAAAAATTGTATATTTTTTTTTGCTGTTGTAATAACACGACACATGAGTGTACATATCAGACTCAGTTTTCATCAATCTAACAAACTTGTATCTATTTCTCAAGCCAAAGTGGCAAATAATTGATCATTCTAATAACTAAATACGAGATTAAATAATATCGATTTTGCACGTTTTACTAAACAAGATTACTTTCGCTCACTATCTTCTTGTTAATTATGGCTTCAATTTAGTTCGCTAAACGATGTTTGAAAGTTATATGGTTTCGAGTCCATAGAAAGTACACAGCTCGAGTGCACGTGACAGATTTGCCTTAAAGCCCTCGAATTCTTCGATTTGCCGCGTTTTATCGAAAATAATCTCTCGCGTCTAAATCGCGAGAGACGTTTCTAAACGAACTAAACACAGACAGAAACATCTCTGGCCGCGCCAGTTGGCTTATGTGTCATTGCCTCGCGCTGTTTGCCTATCTAACTTTCTATCCATCTGTTCTCCACCCTCGCCTCTTCGTTTCATCTTCGTTTTTCTCTTTTCTTACACGAAGGGTATGCAGCGCTCGGTTGAAATGTCGTTTGCTTTGCAAACTGGTCCCTTACATTCGTAACCGTTCGTTATCGTTAGTTCCGCTTGGCGAGGCGCGTTCACAGCGTAAACACGTACGTACTACGTAGGTACATAAGCGTGCTATGCTCTCGAAGGGGGTAGGAGAGAAGAACGAGAGAGAGTATGAGAGAGAGAGAGAGAGAGAGAAGCTGACAGGGTGTACGAACGAGGTTTGAGAGCGCATTTCGGAGGAAGGTGTGGCCGTTTCGACTTCTCCCATTCGTTACCTTTGCCGCGAGCGCACCGGCGTGCGAGCGCGCCGAGTCATGTTTACGAGCGCAAATAACGGTGGAGCCGCAACTTTTTTGTTGCCGTTTCCTTTCCACTTTTTTTCCACAACGTTCGCCGTCGCACACACGTACAACATCGATGATATCGCGCTTTGGTAATCGTGCATGTACGCGTATATCTTTGAACATCGGTGTATGTACACGCGAATACACGTACGGGCAATATGCTTATTTATGCGCAATTGTTGCACAACTTGCCAATGCCCACTAGCGATTTCCACTTCTGTTTACAAGGATGTTGAGTCGACGATTTGCTTGAGCTTATTTTGAGATACGACTCTGTGATCCAGTTTTTCTCATTTTTTACTTCAACAAGTGAGATAAATTTAGCAGTGTGTAATTAGTTAATTACACGTTAATTAAAACAATCGTGGTGATTAAATAATAATAAAATCAGTGGTGATAATTGAATAATATCGGTTATACGATACAGTTGTTTATTTGTTGCAAAGAATAAAACGTCTGATGACTTTCGGAAACTCCGAAAAATGAATTTCTTCTTAGTAAAGAAATTTAAAGAGATATTTAGGTGGCCTTGCATAAATGTATCAACCCTACACTTCATCCTCTCTGGTGAATATATCTACATTTCTTAAGAAATTTAAAATTTCTGCCGTGCGTGGTATTTTCCTACAATCGTCTATTTTCCATGAAAATATACGAAATTTACAAGTTAAATTCTTACGCTCGAGTTACTTTGCCGCTCGTCGATCAATTTAAACGATACAGTGCACACCGATACAGGTCTACCTTCAATAATTCATCGAGTCGATAATTCGCCGTACCTACGGCGAGTATCGAGAAAAATTACGATGGAGAATCTGAGTGAACGGACAAACGATATTAGAAAAAGAATCGTAATACGTAGTTGGCTGATGAGATGAATTTCGTAAGGCATGGCGAGGCATTTGGCAATTTTCGTACATCGATATATCGTGGAAGGAACGATCGGTGATGGATGGATGTAATGAATAGCTCGGGTGGAAATATATCAGGTCAGGTGCAGGTTCCAGTGGAAGATAGTCGTTGAATGTAATGGCGATGGCGACGTGGCGTGTAGGTATGGGTGCAATCAGCGCGATGATAACCAGTATTACCGCGTCAACCCAACCCATCTCGCCAGATCTTGGTGGCGTAATTCCCCGAGGTTCTATTTGTGACGGGGGCAAGCGGCTACTGTGACACGCTATACTACGGATGGTGTATCCCGCGTTATTTATTTCGGGCAACGCCGATCGGCACGCCAGCGAAATAGAAATCAGCCCGTGGCCCCTGAATATTCACACGCCTTTGGTTTTTGAGTTGAACGCTGCCGACCATCAATCGTGGAAACGATGCGGCGTGATTAATTTTGCCGAACCTCGCGGCAGATGAAACGCGCCGCGTCGCGACAATTCCTGTCGATCACAGAATACGTCCCTTGTCAATCGCTACTTCATTGAATATGTTTAATAGCCGACAGTCATTGCCAATTGATTATGCGGTCCAATTTGACGAATTTGCCTCTGAAATCTTTATCGCTGGTTAAGCCTATGAATATCGACGTTGCAGAGAAATAAGTTTAATTAACTTCGGTACGTACGACGAATTGTTCGTGTTATATTTTCACACACTTTCAATAGCAATTGCTAGAAAATTTAATCCGATCGACGGTTTAAAATTATTCGATCGATTGTTTTCAAACGGTATCTACAATATTTCAAGTTTTTTTATTAGTTAAGTTTGTCGGTGTACTTTTGTCTTTTGGTATGAGAATACACATATTTGCGTTTGGGGGATTATTAGTATCTTAATTATTAATTCGTTTCAAATTTTAGATCAGTAATGAGAAATCATATTTGTAGATTGATTGTAGACAATTTCTCGCCGAATTAGACGATTTCTCATTGAAAATGAAGCATCGATTCTTTCAAATATTTTATCGGCTAAGAATTTCGTATTCGCTAAAAAAAAAAAAGAAAAGAGAGAGAGAGAGAGACGTAACATTTTCCGGCTACGAGCGGACATGAAACGCTTTATATTTTATTCGCTTCCACGAAACTTCTGAAAAACGTCATTTCATCGTGGAACGTAGATCCTTGGGCGATCATTTCCTCTATTGTTTCACAGACAATGGTGTCAAACGTTAAATTTGAAGAACGATATAAAACGTGGAATAAGTAACCGTAGAAAAACGTGACAGTTGGAAACTTCTCGTGCGAACGTATTTTCGGATTGCGTACAAAGTTCGCTACGTCATAACGTTTGTCTTTCTCTTACCCCCGTTCTCGCATGATCTTTCAGCTTTCCTTCCCCTGTCCGTCCCTTCTCTCACTTTGAACGTAATATTTCCGCCTATTCATTTCCACATATTCGCAATGCCGGCTGGTGTGTACGTGAGTCCATTTTCCTCGTCTCTCTCTCTCTCTCTCTCTCTCGAAAGTAATACGGAGCCCCTCTCCTCTCTACCTCGCGGCACGCACCCTATTTATTTCCGTGCGAATACCAAGAGACGGAAATAATGATTTTAATAATACCGGAAACCTGGCGTGAGCGTGAGGATTTTCCTCGATTACGTCGGGCCCATTGTTTCAAAAAGGAACCCGTTCAACATATGAGAACCATTAAATAAAATTTCACCGCGTCTGTCTGCGTGCGCCAGAATAAAAAGCGTTTCGTCCATCGGGACGATCCATTTCCATTTCAACCTTCCAATACTAAATGCATTTTATTCTCCATTGGAATTTCAGTGATTTGTTTCACCCAAAAGTATTCGAGCCGCATATTTAATTATTCGCTCGGATTGCTTGCAACGCCATTTTCAATGTGTTTCCCATTTTTTTTTACATCGGTAATATTCATTCTCCCAATGGCAAGTAAATTGTTGATCCGTTAGTAATTCGATCTTTATTAAAATACCGACCGATAACGTTGAAATAAAGAACCAAAAAAAAAATAAAAGAGAAGGAATGTATCCTGTCTACGAATTTCTCGTTTCGATTGTTATATTTCCAACGTGTTCTTTTCATTCTTTCCCAATGTACATCGACATCGTTGCAAAATGTTCGTCGTCGTTGTTTTCTCGATTATTCACCTTTATATAAATAGGCTCCTCGAGCCGTATTTTCTGTCCATTTGTCATATGGCTACTTTTGATGAAAGTTTAAGGAATTGTATAGCTTCTCGTAAACTGAAAGGCTTTTAGGGTTAAGCAAACCTCGCGTTTTCCACTTACTGGGACGGGGCATATGGCGGAATTCCCACGAGTTACTCTTTTACGTCACATGCCTCGCCGTTTCTTTCTTGCTATTTCTCTAGTTGCTTATTTAACGGAATAGTACTTCTCCGCATCGGGCGCTTTTCACCCGTTCGTTATGCGTTCCACAATCGTCGTAAACACGAATATTTCTTGCCATCAGAAATACAATTTTCGTCCAAGTGGTTGTGCCTTTTCACAGAAATCTCGCGGCAATTACGTTAAGTGCGACAGGCAAGTGCGAGCGTCCAGCAGTCCGTTTCGCTTCTATATTTCTTAAGATAACTGCGTCTTAGAAAGTCTCCCGTAGAAACCAGTTAGGTCGGCACCGGTTTTTATTGGACGTGAGAGGAAAGGAAGGAGAAAAAGCGGAAGGAGAGAGGAAGGGAAGGGAGGACTGCATCTATGAAAACTTGCAACGGTGCTGCCCTGTTTCCGGATACGGAGATGATGTCTCGGACCGAAGGGTATAAGAGCAACGAGGGGGTTGGAGGGAGGGAGGGAGGGAGGTAGGTGGGTTTGAGGTGGGAGAGGAAGTTGCTGGACCATGTCGACTGCTTCCCAAGCCAGCCGAAGTGGGACCTATCGACTCGAAACGAGTGTGCTCGACGTTAAAATCCCGGTCGCTGCTCCCGTTTCTCAGCCTCCTCCCCTCTACCACCCCCGCCTCCTTCCATCGTCATTGCTCTCTTGCTTTCCATCTCCCATCCGTAGCCGACCGCCACCCCCTGCCAACCCTCTATCTGTCTTTCTCTCTGGTCCGTTCATTCGTCCGTTCGTTTGTATCGGACGTAAACGATGCAATGGGTGGACACGGTCCAGCAAATCCGAAATCCCCTTTTCCTCGATATAAAGCTTTACCCCTTTTTTCGGCTTCGTCCTTCCGTAGAGCGCGACTTCGCGCCAATACTTTCTGCGAGCAAACCAGCCAGCACAAGTATCGAGCCACCGGTGAAATCGACTTGTTGTATTTCAAGGATCCGATGAGCACTCGGAAATCGAATGTTCCAATCTGCTGTTACGATTGTTCGATGGTTATTGCAATCGTGTGTAACGACCATGGCCGTTGCAGTCATTGTCAATTTCGTTTAATAATTATCTCGTATTTCAGGCAATTGACGAAATGCTTGGAGAAGGGAAAAAATTTTCACCCTTCGTAAAAATGTCGTTGCGAAACCAGTCAGTCCCCCTTTGATCGAATCAGAAATGGAATAAAGCGTCATCGTTGAAAAGTTATGTTTCATTTCATTTCGTTCCAGCGAGCTACTACCGCTCGAAGACTTTTATGTTATTTGAAAATGTTTATCTCCAACGTAAATAAAATGTATGCTCGTCGTGTGCACGTTGGTAATTTGCTGGCAACGTTCGTCATTGCACGGTAGAACTCTGCGTTGCGTCCATTACTCGTGATTAATTACCGAGAAGTTTTTGTCGCCAAAACTAATACGCTGAAAATGCGAAAAAAACGAAGGGAAAAAAAGTGTGGGGGAGGGGGGGGGGAGAAGGGATTATTTGTAACGATTTGCAATTTGCAGGTGTTACGTTGAAATGATCAAGGTAACGACACGTGCATTCATATTTATAATGACTTTAGATAATGGCTTCGACAAGATAGTTGATAGGGATGGCGTTATTTCGCACGGAAGTGACAATATTATTCTGTTTCAGGGTGTGACAGGCGACCGGCTGGCCGGGGGCGCCGCACACCTCCTTCATCTCTTCTTCTTCTTGCCACGACCACAACACACAATGTAACAACAACTACCACAACTAGAGTCGTCCGCGTGAACCACGTTCTCAATGTACTCGATGTGGTACGTCACCATACCCCTACTCGGTGTCTCTGAAAATATGTCATCCTTATTAAGTTTTAACGTGTTTCACTTTTACTTTGTCGTTGCCTCACAGTTATTGTTCCTCAGTGTTTTTTGAGAAACTCGTGCCATGAGCCCGTAAAAGATAATTATCCCTCACTATGTTGATGAACGCACGTGTGGCGAAGGGTGCCCGCTTGCCGACCATCGAGCACGAGCAGAAAATTTCACCAATCAGGTTCGGTAAAACGCTGAAGCGTTGCGCGGTTTTTGTTCCGAGATGGTTTCGTAGCTCGATTATAATTACCGTATTCTTCCATTACCTGGCATCTACGTGGTCTGGTAAATTTTCGTTGCGATGTATTCATTCCCCTTAATTAAACCGCGCCGTCGAATTTCGGTTTTCATGCAAATTGCGCTCTAATTAAATTTATACGTCAAACTGTTTCATAGTTGTTTGACTATGTTTTGAAAAAAAAAAGAACGATCACTTTAGGTCGTGATGCATGCACTGTTGTTTTCCTTTTTCTTTTTTTTTTTTTTTTTTTTTTTTTTTAAATATTTGAGAAACAATTTGGCATTACGCAATTTCGCGATATATTCACGCGTTCCGATACGATTTGCGAGATAACGATTTACACGTGGAAGCAGTGGCATTCTTCGCGCACACGTACGTATTTACACATCAATCAACATTATGTATACATTCTATAGTCTATATCTATATATGATATATATTCTATATATGTATATGTATATATATATATATATATATATATATATATATATATATGATATATACACATATATACACATATATATTCGCTGAGTTCCGTTACAATGTGACTTGTGGTTGGTTTAGTTTCGTTGGTTTATCGGTGTTCGATGTTGGCTGCTATTGTTGGTTGTTAGGTGTTTAGTGGTCACTCTGTGTTGGTGCTCACCCTATCGACTCCTACCTTGTACCCGCAACCCCGACAACCTGCACTCCCTTTCTTCGACCACCCGAATCCCAAACTTGATGTTAGAAGTTACAATGTCAAGCTTGTCTCCTGCCACGAGCAATCTTACTCGACGACGAAAAAGATCGGCAACGTTATGAAATGTGTATTAAACTGACGGTAAGGTTTTCATTGGATAGTCTGTTAGGCTATCCAAAACAGCATGCAGTTTTTTACGTGTAACAGAAAAAAAGAATCGAGCAAGTGTCGCATGATGAATATTCCTAATTGATAAAAAAAAAAAAAAAAGAAAGATGAAGAAATATGTTATATGCCTACTCGCCAGTAAATGTACTCACTAACAGCTGTATATTCGAAATCGATGTCGTGTTAAAATACAAATTCTTGTCCAATTGCAACTTAGCGGCATTTGATGTTAAATAATTTGTTCAGTGTACTTGAAAAACATGTAGAAACGTTCTCGACGTGACATTTCTCATTCCGTCATGAATATTTGTTCACATTTTATTTTAAATCGTATCGCGTAGGGAATGGATTTTCGTCCCCATTCAATGAACCGTTTATTATATAACGTTAGGATTATTATATAACGCCGTGAAAACTGCCGCATACGAATCTGCAGGAAATTGATAGAAACCGAAGGAAAGGCACGTTTCGCTTCGTTGTGGAATTTAAATATTTTTGAAGAATGGATACGAAACCCAATGATTTTTATGCAGCGCGCGTAAAGGTCTCCCTTACGGAATACCATTTCTAGACCAGGAGGACGCGTTACTTGAGAATGGTCGATATTTGATTAGAGAATGGCACGAGAATCATCGTTTCTATTTTACTTGTTTCGCACGTGTACCGTTCCGATTTGCATCTCATCGGATTCAGCTCGAGTTTTTACCCCGATAATATCTTTTAGGCTACGGGGAAGTATCTTTTAATTGCGCAACGGTGAAAAATATTCTTACCCCCGTTCGGAATGACGTTAATTATCGAGCGAAATCAATGAATCGACGTATGTACATGCGTAAACAGGCACAATTTATTCCTGGCTATTTGCACGATAAATATTGATACTAGGATTTTTTTTGGAATCGACCTCCCTAATTAAGTTTCAGGGGCAGCGATAGGTTGTTATCACGCTTTTAATGGGTTTGGAAAACGATCGCAAACGGAGAGGGGAATCTGTGGTCGAAGTGCTTGAATTCTTAATAAGAACCGACCGAAAAAACGGAAAATGCTACCGTTTACTACGCTATGGATAAAACAATTATGCAAGTGGATAACAAAAAGAGTGCTTTTAATTGATCTATCGTTTTTTTTTTTTTTTTTTTTTTTGATGTCTCGTATTATTAAAATTTATATATTTGTATGAATATAGAAATGGTAAATATTGGTATAATGGTAAAGGATACATTTCGTCGATTTCAACAACCCTGAAATATGTTACCAGGCATATTTCTGTTCCATAGATCGCTCGCCCTTAGTTTTCGATACTATACGATCATATATACAACGTTTCTAGAGTTAAATGTTGGATTAAGTACTTGGAGTGGGAATGCAAGCTCTGCCCACGCTTTTACTTTGTAAGAGACAATTGGATTTTTTTCTGTAGTTTCGTTGTGAATATAACTGTATCCTAATATAAATATTTTTCAATATAATGACTGGAATTTTTTCAATTTCTTTCGTTTGCTTAACCTCATAATTAAAAATCGTGTGCTACGATGTAATAGGGAAAATCTAACATAAACATATTCAAACGTTGGAACACGTACAGCGAAAGATTATTTAGAATCGTGCCTCTGACACGTTTCAAGTTTATTGAAATCGGTGAAATCTCTTCTCCTTGTCAATAATTGTCACAAAAAAGTAATTAATTATACGTACGATAACCGGAACAAAGCACTTGAAACAATTGAAATCGATAATGGAAGAGGTCGATTGCATTACTAAAACCAAATGGCAAAATGTTACGTTCGTATTACCCATGAAACTAACAGTGAAATTATAGAAATTCTATGCATAATAATCCATTGAGTGAAACCAGACCCGATTCAGCACGAATCGTACATCCACCTACGCGTCTGCTTTATATCACTTACTTAGGTGCATTTAACTCTAATCGCGTAAAGCCATAGTCTCGATCCGCGTTCCAATTCCATTGGAAACATCGGCTGACATTTTACCCTATTGAATTGCGCCGGGATAGAGAGAAGGGCCAGAGGAGAAAACGGGGACGTTCTGCTGCTCAAGACCGTTCTGACTACGACGTGTACGGGTGGAAGAAAATATAGACCGAAGGAACATTTATTTGCTGGCAGGGATCCCCTGCAGTTTTTCAGCCAGATCGTGTGGAATTTTTGCAAAAGGCAATTTCGATTTCAAGCCCATTCGGACAATATTAAAGGATAATTGGATTTCGACCTAGGCTAGTTGTTGCCAGCGTGCACGCTCGATCCCGGGGCTGAGCAACGGGGATGAGAAACAGGGACAGCAGAATCGTGTAAGGGGTGTCGAATTGGTAGAAAGAGGAAGATAACAAAAGTAGGGAGCATGTACGCGTGTTCGCCGACCAGAATAATGGATAGTCGTTAAATTTAATTGGCACATAATTATCGGGAGTCCCGGCACCAAGCAGATCGCTGCACGCCACCAATCGTCGTGATCCCGTTGCCTTGGCTTTTAATATCGAGGAACCTCGATTACGCTCGAACGATCTTGTCCGTTTGCTCTTTGCGCGGTGAAAAAAAAAAAAATAAAAAAAGAAGAAAAAAGAAATTTCCGACTCGCAGTTTTTGGAAATCGAATCTACCGAAACGTTGTTCGTCCACTCGAATCTTGTTTTTCATCTTTTCGCGATTCTATGATTATTCGTAATTTCCTCGAGACAAAGTCGATCGAACTATAAAGCAAAATAGAAGATCGCTCGATATTCCGGTTGGAATTCGTAAACTAAATTCGCCAACGGGATAACCCTTGATCTCGCTTTCGCGTTGAACCGTCTTGCGAGAAAACGTCGAGGGCTTCGTTGGCGGGAGGGAATCTGAATAATACAACGATCACGTGAAGCAACAAGACCGAGGGGAAAGGCATCAAGGGAAACGAACTCGGGACGAGAGGGAAGATTCTGGAGCCGTGGATAAAAATCTATGATTGTCTCGGGTCTCGAGGGAAGTTCCCCATAAGCGTGAAAGTATCTCGGCGCGAAATTTCAATATACCACGGCGAGATAGAAAAAGAAAAAAGGAAAAGAAAGCGCGATTAGAACGCTTGAATTATTACAACGCCTAGTTGGATCAATTAATTTACGAATCAATTAGCGTGGTCGCGTTTAGATAGGGTTATCGATGATAGCGGGTAGTTGAACGTTGTAGGCACGAGTTGCGGAGAAGCTCGACAGAGAAACGCCCCACCCCTGTAGAGGGAGAACGCGTGATATCGTACGTAACTACGATATCGGCGCGTACCAATAAATAAGCCGACCGATACCATCTTTCATTTCGATAATTATTATTCGGCACGGTGTTAATTAATTAAACACGGTGAGGCAGGATGGTCGTGGGTAACGGGTTGCCAGTGGTGTGTAACAGTCGGAATGGAGTGCTCGAATAGACGAGGCACGCGTGCACACAGCCGTGATCGCACCAGGTGATAACTCCTCGGGCTCTCCGGCTAATTACCGGATGAAAGAGCTATCTGGCGACTGTCGTCAAAGCCCTGGTGAAACCTGGTAAATGCACCTGCCGCGCCATTGTGATATTTTAACGCGGCCGCGGTGTCTGCAGCGTCGCGCGATTTTCGCTGTATCTAATTTTCATTCGGTACTTTCAGTTCCCGCCGGCGCGTACGCACGCCCGCGTGATCACGAATATACTTGCCAAACGTTTAGCCGTGGAAACTGTTTCTGAAAACAGTGAAAACGTCGTTTCCGATACTCCACTTAACCCCTCGTTGTCGTCGTCCTTGCGGCAATACCGGAATTAATGTAACATTTGCTAATCGATGACGGATAAACGATCGAGGGCCGAGATCTTTTCACTCGGA